GTTATGTGAAAATTAAAAAGTTAATTCAAACGTTTAAGTCAGAGATGGGCAAAATACATGCAAATACGTATCGTAATACAAATACAAAATACTTCGTCAAAAATGTATTTAATTACAAATCTAATTACATTTCTAAAAAAGCATTTAAGTACAAGATACAAATACAAACAAAAGTATTTTGTCTCCTCCAAATACTTTTCCAAATACATTCCTCAAAATTTGCGTCAGCGACTTCAGGGCACCTGCAACGGATTTCTGGGTACCTCATTTTAATTTTGCATCGCACACTCGGGAATTAGTGTGTGAGGCTCTAGTAACGTAATAGAAATATAATCACAAAAAATGTAATCACCTTGGACGTAATAGGTGAAAAAAGTACAGAGCTTCAAGCAGCTGTTTTTGTCGTTGACATTTTAATATAGACCAACAAAGAACCGAGACGACCAAGACGCGCAGCACTAGCTAGAGAATTTTTTATTGTTGCAACTTGCACCAGTTACGAAAATCTGGACGACCCGCGCATTTAAAATGTTCCAGGCAAAAATATGGATGGAAATCAGGCTGAAAAGCATCACAAGTTGTCACAGGCACTTATTTAGCCAGTCTGCCTGTGAACGTCGATTTCGTCACTATTCCTGCCCTGGACTAGCGCCGTAATCACAAGGTCACTAAACGCTTGTGCTCGATTGAGAGACACTGCATTCGGTGCAGAACGTAGTTTTCTTTCTGCTCTGGACAGTGACAATAAATTTGAGGGATGTATTTTCGCCCACAAAATTGTATTTAATTAGAATTGTATTTGAAATACCCACGTTTTAGTATTTAAATACACACATCAAATACATTACCCAATTTGTAATTAAATACAAATGCAAAATACAAAAAGTATTTGAAATACGTATTTAAAATACTTGTATTTGAAACACTGCCCATCCCTGGTTTAAGTTAATTAACTAAGAGATTACCTAATTGCACCTTTTTTTATAAGGCAGCCACGGCCATTAACACTACACCAGGGTTGAAATTACCCTATCTCACATTTTCGTTATTTATGAATTTGGTGCAGCTAAAAACTGTGTGTAACTGTGTATGTATGTATGTATGTATGTATGTATGTATATATATATATATATATATATATATATATATATATATATATAAAACGAAGAGGGGAGAAGGTGATTATGGAATTTATTGCATTAAAGTTTTAATGCAATAAATTCAATAATCACCTTCTCCCCTCTTCGTTCTCAATATTACTACGGCTGCACTTGTCAATCTTCACTCAATCCCATTATATATATATATATATATATATATATATATATATATATATATATATATATATATATGTTTCAAACAGCCTACAATGATTGAATAATGTTTTAAAACTAAAGGCAATGGGCAGAAAAAACATATGACGGTAGAACACCTGCTCTACGACTCTTTTGTGTCTTTTTGCTTTCAACCACGAAACTTCTTAGAGGGGATGTGCAACAATTTTCAGACTTTGGCCAATTAACTGAAAAAATTAATTTGAGTCACCTGTGGAACGAAAAGCAGAAAACCGTATTTTCTTGCGAGCGCTGGTTCTAATTTTAAACAAAAATGAAACAAATCAATAGTGGAAGTGCCTCTCCACTCTCCACGTTGACTTTCGTGTGACGCACTCTGGGGGTTCACATAGTTTCCCCTTGGGTTCTCTCGTCAGAAACCAGTCGCTTCCTGGCGATTGTCGAGTTTTAAAGGATTAGCCTCGTTGAAGGTCGCGGCGAGCGTAGCAGCGGAGGGGGACAGGTTTTGTTGACTTCCGCGTACCCCCAGAGAATCTTAGTTCCCATAACCCCGACAGGCGACTGCAGATCGGCAAATAATTTGTTTTTTGCTTTACGATTACGCAGCAGAATAGCAGTTTTATGGGGAAAGGTGACGCGTTTTTGGTCAATTGGGCTTGCATGAACAATATAAAAAATGCAAATCGACAATTATTTCAACATTACATATGATCCACAATATCCGTAAATGACAATCGCACGTTTCTATTTTGAGCCTGGTAGCTGTATTTTTCGTTATAAACGGCCCACTCTGGCAAGCGCTCGGAGAAGGCCCAGCTTAGGGCACGTGACATCCAACGCAATCGTGACGTAGGTCGTCTCAAGACGAGCAAAGCTACGGCGAGGCTGACGTCGAGAGGATGGCCTAGTCGTTCCAGCCACCGAAGCGGCTGCTTTTGTACGAATTTTGAGTGACGGGTTAATCTTCTATAATCTTCTAGGGGGACAATAGCGACTTCTGCGACACACAAAAGGGATTCTCGGGAAGAGGGGAGTTCCTCCTTCCCCCCTTCTCTCGTCGTGGCCGGAGACGAGACAACCTCCGTCACTAGCTGTCAAGGTTCCTAGACGAGCATTACAAACGAGGCGTTAGCGACATCCACCAGGTGCTCTTTGCTAATCGTTTAATTCGTTTTAAAATTCCTTTTCGAGACTTTTTTAACAAGATATTGGTATGTTCCATGTGATACTGCTTTTTTGAACACATATAGACCAAAAAATGAACGCCGAAATTTCGTTGTAGTATCCCTTTAAGGGCTGGGTGTTCGTGACATACCCTTCGAGTTGAAAGAGCAGGAACTGCAGAGGCTACGCACGGAACTTTTTTATGTTTCGCACTCAAAAACTGCTCCCGAGAACGAAAAAAATATTCAGGGGTCACAGAGTAACGCCTAAAGACTCGAAATCTGCACATTAAAAAAAGCTCAATATTCGTTTCACAACTCCTTTAAGCTGTTGACTACCTCAGTTATGACATCCTCATGAGCAGATCTGCAGTTATGCACTGTAATGCAATTGTAGAAACAAAAAATACATGAGAGGTTGTGGCCATAGTGCAAAAATATTCTTCAGGTGTTGACAGCGCACTCATCAACGTGTGCTGATAAAAATCGCCCCTTGTCTGGTTTCGAGTGCTGACTTGTGGGCATTAAGCCCATTGAGAAATCGTCTCCCATGTTCATTTTTATCACAGTTTCACTCTCAGGCCAGCCGATCGCTCTGTCAGCTGGGGGGCCCGGTGGCCGCAAGATGACAAGGCCTCTCGCAAATCTGTAGACGGAACGTTGCTAGATTTCTCACACCATGCGTTTAGTTGCAATGTGTCTTCCCCTAAAGAGTATACCTTACACCATGGTAGCAGCACACACTGGATGCTTCATGGAGCACATGAGAAGCCAAGCACACTTGTCAAAATTGGGTGAGGGACATGCAATAGTAACAAACAGACCAGCTGCTGCATGCCTTTCTTCATCCTGTGACCAGACGGTCTCTGGAGAAGGGGAGTGCGAGTGGTCGCAGTCCTGGAGGAGTGGCACACCACTTGGACCTGGGAGAGATAACGGACATACCAATGGTGCTCTCAGACACCCCAGATGTAAAAGCTGCAGCACAGTCTCAATGCCTCATGCGGCACAAGAGAAGCAGATATCACTGTCAAAATGGGGTAAGGGACGTGCAGTAGCAACAAAGAGGGCTAGGCAGTATCACGATACAAATGTATCGCGATAGTATCTTAGAGATACTTTCGAGTATCAGTATCTCTGTATCGAGATATATTTGTAAAATATATTTGTACCTCAGTAGTAAAATCCATTTACAACGTATCGCGATACTTTGCGTGACTTAGACATCTCGTTACATTTGTTGCCCTTTTTAATTTAAAAGATAAGAACATCTGTTTGGTGCAACTTGCTTTGGAATTTATAATATGAACCTGCCCTATAACATGATGCATCTCAGTCACCAACAATAAAAAAAGATATTGTGGTTTAAAGAAGGTTATTTGCAAGAATAACAAAATCAGCTCCTCTCACAAAGTCCTCCACTCTTTCCAATTTAGCAGAGCGAACGCTGTACAGGAGTTGAGTGGAGAAAAAGTATGGCCCTGTTGTCCAATCTCCCAACACTATGGATGACTCAGAAGCTTATAATGTGACAGTTTGAGATGTACCCTCACGGCAAAACAGGGCTCATTTCAGGCGGATGCCTTTTGTCAAGCATGGTACGCAGTCTTTACCGTTCTGTAACTATGTAACTCAACAGGGGTGACATTTTCTTTAACGTAATTAATGATAGTCAAGGAGTTCGAGGTAGTGGGCAGTGCATAAAATGGCACAAAAAAAAAGAGCATAAGCATAAATTACCTTTCGCGTTCGCCACGAGCTGCACCCTCTCCACGTTGCACCGTTCGGGAACAAACGTATTTCTATGAGTATCTGTATTCTGGAATGCCTTTCCGCCATTATTGCTGAAGTATCTCAGGGATATCCCGTTGCATAAAGACAAATGTATCTCAGTATCTGTGTTTTGGTCTTAAAACACATTTATCTCAGCCTTTGTATTCCCGAATACTTTTTGGGGTATCCCTGCCCAGCACTGGCAACAAACAGACCTGCCGCCGCATGCCTTTCTGCATCCTGTGGCCAGTCGGTCTCTGGAGAAAGGGAGTGCGAGTAGTCGCAGTTCTGGAGGACTGGCACACCACTTGGACCTGGGAGAGATAACGAACGCACCAATGGTGCTCTCAGACGCCCCAGATGTAAAATCTGCAGCACAGTCTCAATGCCTCGTGCAGCAGTCTCAATGCCTCGTGCAGCACAAGAGAAGCAGAGATCACTATCAAAATGGGGTAAGGGACGTGCAAGGGACGTGCAGTAGCAGCAAACAGACCTGCCATTGCATGCATTTCTTCATCCTGTGACCTGTCAGTCTCTGGAGAAGGGGAGCCCAAGTGGTCGCAGTCCTGGAAAGCTCGCATGCCACTGGGTCCTGAAAGAGATAACAGACGAACCAATGGGGCTCTGAAACACCCCCAAGGTAAAAGTTGTAGCACACTCTCAATGCCTCGTGCGGCACAAGACAAGCAGAGATCACTTGTCAAAATGGGGTAAGAGTAGCAACAAACAGACCTGCCGCCTCATGCTTTTCTTCATCCCATGACCAGTCGGTCTCTGCAGAAGGGGAGTGCGAGTGGTCGCAGTCCTGGAGGACTGGCACGCCACCTGGACCTGGGAGAGATAACGAACGTACCAATGATGCTCTCAGACACCCCAAATGTAAAAGCTGTAGCACACTCTCAATGCCTTGTGCGGCAAAAGAGGAGCAGAGATCACTTGTCGAAATGAGGCAAGGAACGTGCAGTAGCAACTAACAGACCTGCCGCTGCATGCCTTTCTTCTTCCCGTGACCAGTTGGTCTCGCGAGATGGGAAGTGCGAGGGGTCACAATCCTGGACTGCTGGCATGCCACTGGGTCCTGGAAGAGGTCACAGACGAACCAATGGTGCTCTCAGACACCACAGGGGTAAAAGTTGTACCACACTCTCAATAGACCCTTTTCAGAATTCGGTCCGGCCACTTTGATCATTATCATCATCTCAAAAATGGCATATGTGCTATACTATAATGGCAGCCTTCTGTTTACTGATGAAGGAAGAAGTTGAAGATGCTCCTAAGCAGATGATTCGAGACCAATAGATTCTAGACGTTAGCGCGACTTAAAGTAGGATTTGGATGCAAGATCTGCGTAAGTGTTCATTTCTAACTCGGGCTCAGTAAATATCTTAGTAGCAAACACTCGGCTTCAAAGCCCCTTGATGTATAGAAGGTGGTAAGTTGGGCGAGTTGGTTCATCATCTTAAAAAGTGGAGGCAGCACAAAAACATTAACAAAGGTGCCCTTCTTTTACTCTTCCTTTGTTATTTTTTTTGCACTGTTTCCACTTTTGAAGATGTATAGAGCTTCATCAAGGAGTCTGTCGGTTAATGCTTCATTCCGACTCGTTGCATTTTTTTCGCCATCAACATTGAAAGAGATTGAAAAAGAACTATACCGTGCAGCGCACATTCTCGTTTACCGTTGACTTGCAAAAGTGACGGTGCACCATAAAATACTGCAAAACACAGGTTCATTTCTGCCATTAGTATGGTAAAAGTTAAACTGCCATTTGAGTCACCAGATGGCACTGAATTCCGGAAAGGGTCTACACGCTGTGCGGCATGAGAGAAGCAGAGATCCCTTGTCAAAATGGGGTAAGGGACGTGCAGTAACAACAAACAGACCTGCCGCCGCATGCATTTCTTCATCCCGTGACCAGTCGGTCTCTGGAGAAGAAGAGTGCGAGTGGTCGCAGTCCTGGAGGGCTGGCACGCCACTTGGACCTGGGAGAGATAAGGGAGAGACTAATGTGGACGGTCTTGCATTCTTGTAGGATCCCAAAGGTAATGTAACAAATTGCAAATGTCATCTATCTAAGCCAAACATTGGGCTTCATTGTCATGCAGCTGTAGAGGTTGGGTTGCAGTTAAACCTGTGGGAAACATCACATCATAAGATTGGGATACCACAATAGTAGGCAGGCACATAGCCAGGATTTTGTTTGGGAGGGGGTGGGACAGGGGGAGGGGAGGCATGACAAAAGGTCATAGATGGCTGAAGGGAGAGGAGGCTCCAGAAAAATTCAACACTTTAGAGGGAGGGGCACCCCCCTGGATTAGGTATACTCGGGGACAGCTCTTCTTGGCAATGCAGTCCAAACTACAGGCACCCGTGAGCTTCCTCCGCTACGATGCTAACCAAGGATGTCCACCTGTGCCTTCTAATATTCCAAAAAAATGTTGTTGCCAAGTGTACATCTGACGTCATATCCGTATTCCTTGCTGGTTGCAGAACCAGCAAGGAATACGTAAAGGCTATGCCTGAGGCAGTTTTGCAAACAGAGAGGAGGACCGAATTACGTCAGTGTAACCTGCCAATATCAAGAAAAACATTTCACGTACCATGATCTCGGGCACCAGCAACGGGGATATTCAGGATGCTCGGCACATAGTCCGGATGGGTGACGCAGCGAGATGGCTCACCTGGATGGTGGCCACGTTTGCATTTGGTATGCTGTTGCCATTTGCAAGTTGATGCAGCACATCCCAATTTATATTGTCAACATAGAAAAAAACATCACTGCATTGACCACGTTACCTAAACACCCCGTTCGTTAATCTGGCGTGACTGCAAGCAAGATTTTGCGACGGCATAGTCACGATCCATTTCTTTTAACCACGAATTATATGTCGCGCTCAAACAATGCTCATGGCGGTTCACTGAATCAGTTTGATGCGGTGGTCGGCGCGAGCTGACGGGTCGTGCGCCGTACTCGTCGCGAACACATGGGTCTGGCGCGTGCATTGCTGAGGCCGCGTACCGTAGAGTGCACGATGATCTGCACGCACCCATCGGTGAAGCAGCTGCACCCGGTAGACCCGTAGGTAATAGGTATAGGCACTTTTAAGCGCTGCGACGAGGAGGGCACGACGCCGAGCGTCCAGCCTGCTGTCAGCGCAACAGCCGCTGCACTTATCGAGCCCTTACACGCCCTGCCCATGAGAGATGCTCCCTCTCGAATAAACGTTCCAACTTACCTGTTATGAAGTGCGCACTGCAGACTCGAGAGTTCGACTGCGGCAGCCATGGAGTACCGTCTTCATTTGTTCGATTCACAGCAGTGACGGCAGCGATCCAGAGCTTCCTCCTCTTGCGTTGGAGCCGTTCGGATGGGAAGCAAAAAAAACGGCATCCGCTGCCGCGTTTCGCGACGTTCTTGCAGTTCCCGAATGCGCAATCCTGCGGCATCTTTGGAACCGTTAAGCTTCTGACTACCTCTTCCACACCCGACACCCGACCGCCGCCGTCGCCATCTTTGCTCGCTTGTTTTTCGCGGGTTCCCCGGTTCCCCCTGGTTTTCCCTACGAAGCTGATCACGAGGTATGAAAGTCCCTAGGTGCGTACTTTGTACCGCTCGCGTGGCCGCACCTCAGAGAGCGAAGAAACTGGTAGCGTAGCTCCCATTATTGATTGGTAGCGCAGGTCACTTCCTCGATTCTTTAGTTCGCGCAGCCACCGCCTGGTGCCGTCGGTAAATGGAAAAGGTCCATTGTGCAGTAGCGGTACGTTATGTTGACTATTTTTTAACTGAGCATTTAACGAACTTGTCATGAAGGTGTGGCTGGATCGGAAAGATCAGCATTCTCCGGACCTGTCAGTCACTAGTGAAATTTGTACAGTGGGGTTTATCCAGCATGCTGTTTTGAAAATATTTTCACTTCAGGGTTTTGGTGCAGTGGCGGTAAAGATGCACCGAAGTTTATTTTTCAGAATGGCAGTTGCCGTCCAAAAGGTGTAAAGCGGGGGAGTACCGGAGTCAACTTTCCGTGGGGAAAGGGGGCCGGTCAGGATGGTGACGACCGGTGATGTTCGCCCGATGCAAGTCCCCCGGTAAGTCGAATAAGAAAAAAAAAAAACTGAAAGTTGTTAGATCCCGCTGCACACATTACGACGTTGGTTGGTTTACGATGGTTTGTGTGGCCCCGTTGATTTTAAAACAAAACGACAACAAGTCAACAGTAATTTACATTACAAAACTCCCAAAATTATAACCTGTACTTTAGTCCCCCAGTCTCAAGAGCCAAATTTGCCTGATCTCAAAAGTTGAATCGATCGAATCTCCGAGAATCCTCTCGGCAGCCCTTTTCTAGACTCGTAGGGCCTCCTTTCCCTCCAGAGACGGACCAACGACTTCAAATTTTCCCGTTGTCACGTGGCCCCCCTCCGACCCAATGATCAGCGAGCTGTCAACGTAACCCATTCCGACACCTCAACGGTCAAACCCAAATTCTTTGTAGAGTCACTACATGCTTTCTTCGCCGTCTGACTTGCGCCACCAAGTTAAGTTATTGCGTCGATTAAAAGCGAAGTTTCCACACTGAGCGGCGAAATACGCCGGACACAAGCACACCCGCTTAAAAGCCACAAGTGTGGACCGGAGCCCAAGACAGGGGTGTTCCGGCGCCCCAAACTGAAACCCAATCCGTTTGTTAACGATCGGGGTCCGACTCTTCTCCACCGAGCCCCGCGGCTGCTCGAAGCCCCCCGCGCTTGAGAGAACAAGACGACTCCCCGTTCACGCTCTCACGACCTGCCGCGGGTCTGCGAGCAAACGCCCAAAAAGGTGGACCCAAACATAGGCAGATAAAAAAACGATGCCGACGCAACTATAGAAAGATAGACTTTTCTAAAACAAATCTTACTTATTTCTAAGAAAATCCTTCGTTACTTAAAGGGGCGGTGCAATGATTTTAACACTGAAAGAATGTGCAGCTTGTATTTTTTATATTGTTTACTTCAGCGTAAGTGAGAGAAAAAGTGCCACCATACCCCAAAATACCTCTATTTCGCTGCGTAACTGCAAAATGAAAAATGGCCGCAAATGAAACCTGTGGTGTGACGTCATTCGGAGTGTTTCTTATAAGTGATAGTGTTAGGCAATTGTAAGCTTGATTTAAGGTTAAATATAAAAAAATCTTGTTGTTTAGGCATGCAGAAACGCTTCAAAAACCTAATATTGCCGCTAAAAGATTTGTGGCGCCATCTACCGCAAGTCAACCAAACCTGCCGTCGCCGTCATCCGTCGACGTCCGAGGCGCCTACGGCGGCTACACGAGCAACCCGGACGTTTTGTCTTTCCCTCGCTCGACGGAGTGCGTTGGTCGTGGTCCGTAGTATCGTGGCAACGTTATTGTTCCTGGTGTCTCGACCTCGACTTCGACTTCGACTGCCCGCCGCGTCGACTGCCCGCCGCGTCGACTGCCCGCCGCACTTACTATACGCAAGCATCTTGCGCTCGACGTCGCTCAGGCCGTCCGCCCATGCCGCCATGTTGGTCGGGAATCGACGGGAGAGCGGGAGAGCGGCGAGCCTGGCGAGCCGGCGAGCGCTGGGGAAACGGAAGGCAGAAGTACCCAACCGGAAACCAACGCCACTCCGAATGACGTCACAGGCGAAGCTGGTGCTGCTTCAATGTTCAGTTGAGGGCAGTGTTGCGGAATGGGCACCCCCATTCCATTCCAATTCCATTCCGGGGAATTAGAGTTTTCGATAATTCAATTCCTTTCAATTCCTAGGAATGGAGACACTGCATGAGCCCATTCCAACTCCTGGAATGGCTAAATCGTTCCATTCCATTCCTTTAATTCCTAAACGTAAAAATTGGCACTTGACAGCTACATTTTGTTGCCGGTATAAGCAGCATAAAGCTGACATTATCAAATGCAGAGACACTTGCAAAAAAAAAGGGGGAAAAAAAGCTAAATTCCTCAAAAAAGCACCGATTTTTACTAAGCGGACCGCTGGTGGCAGAAAGTGTTTATTTACAATGTACTGCCAACATCGAGAAAACCCCTTGATATGTCAATGCTTGTTTAAGACATCGGTCTCGCGACCACGTCGCTCGCAACAAACAGCAAAACTTAAATCCACTCATTTTCTTTTTTTTAACTTTTTTTTTCCATTTGACTTTTAAGACATACGCGGCCAGCGTGTTTGTTTGATAAGACCATAAAAAATATCCAGTTCGTGCGTGGCGCAGGAATAAGCTATATTACTGTATTCTTCAAATACAGCAACACGGCTAGTACACTGCTGGAAGCGACTCAATGCACAGTGGCAGAACACATCCTCTGACAAAATGCAATCTCTGCGGCGCAGCACTAGGGACCGTATAGACCATGTCACGAAACCTGTTTTAAAACGCATAAGTTCACGCTTGCTTTACGAATCTCGATATTTCTTATCATATTCAATTCAATTTTTGGCTGGTTCGCCTGCCCTCTTCCACCCTTCGCATACTCATTCTCGTGTTTCCTCTTCAGACGGCGAATAAAGTTCGATGATATACGCCGACTGCACCGTGTATAGTTTCGTTGCACAACTTTCAGCATGCAGCTTGTTTCTTTTCTTCGCGACTAATGTAGAAAAATGTCTTCTACGATGCCATGACTCAATCTGTATTTATTTTGTCTTCTCGTCCGAATCGTGATGTTCCTCTTCCCGCTGATCGAGTGGCGGGTTCAGGCAGCAGACGCTACCAACCAATTCATTCTTCTACCTCGTTGTCGGTTGTTCGCGTAGTGGCGACGGGTCGGCAAGTCAGCATTCACATCAAGATACAATTAACGGGGTACTACCGCACCGTTCGAATTGACATTCCCCGTGTTTCCTTATTAACACCGTCCAACTGACTTCTCACCGCCTCAAATAGGGTCCAGGACAAGGAGCACGAACGCAGACCGGACAGCCGAGACGCGCGGAAGCCAAAACCTCAGTGG